TAATTTATTTGCAAGTTGTGTGCATTGATTTGTACTAAGCAAACTGCTAAAATATGTGATCAAATGCATTTAATCTTTTAATGCATACATAAAAGAAAATACCTTGAGGAGTCCAGTATTGTGTAGTAAGATTTTTTTGACACTCCTTAACCATACAATGCAAGGTATTGCTGTTCTATATAAGTACATTAACCATCAGTAAAAAATCTTAACCCTGCAACCATGGTTAAAAATTAAGTTTAGAGCATTCAGTAGTGGCATTTGAATAAGATATATGACAAGAATAAATAAATTCTGACTAAAGTGCTAAACCCAAAAGGGTCATGTTGACCAGAGAATAACATACCAGATTCCTGGGAAATAAGTCACCTTTTGCAAAAAGAAAATAAAAAAGTTTATTGAAAGCTCAGTTAACTTGCAATAGAGCTCTGGAGAATTTTAAAATACACAAATGGTTCTCCAAAGTATCACAAGCAGAAAGCCGAACAATAGGTAGTCTAGATGCTTGGTAGAAGCTCCAGCAATGAGGTGTGCATGGTGTCTAGCAACAGCATCATTTGGGTTGCCAACTGATCCATTAAACCATAATCTCATACATGGTTCCGAGTCTTTAGTATACTGCCAAGCATGATCCCAAACCTAAAGGAAATTTTACATGTTAATGTAGGGAGAATTTAGCACTAAGAGGTACACAAGACTACACAGAATTTTAAGCAAATTACAATAATGCACATAGTATTTACCATACTCAGCAAAGCCTAAGATTAGTTTGAGCACCTGCAAGTAGGATAACACTTGCAAAGGTTAAAATCTCCAGGGAAAAATTTTAAACTAAATTTCAGTATTTACATTTACAAATAGAGGGAGGAAGGGGGTATGAGAACACCAATACTAATTTCCCTGAAATAATTTAGTAATGCAAGAAATGGGGATTTTCATGGGGAAGTAGAACAGAATTCTGCCTCCTTAGGCTACGAGTGTTGAAAGAGGCGACTAAAATGCTGGGACCAAGGGGCTAGTAACTCCTCCTGTATACATTACTAAAGTTAAGAGAAGCTTGTTTTTCTTTTTGGGCCACCTTACTTTGGTGGATATGGCTGGTGTGTTGAAAGAAGAAATGGTCAACACTAAAGCATTTAAATCAAAAGGATAAGTTTTGCCTGGCTACAAAAAACACTGGTAAAGTGGCACATTCCCAATTACTGCAAATTTGGGAAACAAAAGGTTTACTTAGGCATACCTTTTCACAGAAGTTGGAAGCATTCCCAATATTTTTCTGAAGGTCATACATTCTGACCCCTTTGGGCAAAAATTAGTTAAACACTTCGAGGGCATCCAGTATCATTTAACCAATCAAATTTCTTGACCAGTTGTCAGTGCAGGTAAAATCTTCAGCACAGTCATTAAACCAGGCATCACAATCACTGGCACACAAGGGAACTTTGTAGAACGCTCCTTCCGCCATGTGCGAGTCTCCTGCAGTGTAGATATGTCATCAAATACCAAGTCCATCAATAATTAAACTAGCAATACAATAATTTTAAAACAGACTTACTTAGTAAATACATTGTGAATTCTTGGGCTAACTACAGTGCAAGACTAAAAAGTAATTTGTGGTATACACACAAGGGCAAGAGTTAACTTTAGCTCTTACAACTAGACAATCTTAATGAAGGCAACTTTACCAAGTATTAATCATTTAAAACAAGCACTTACACCACTCTGGAACTTTAATAATTAAGTACATCCATGCTGGCAAGTACAGCCTCTCCTTACTTAATGACGTACTCTTTTACCAACACCTCCGACTTATGACTGGCTCTGACCAGCATTAATACCTAAATAATGTATATTGGAGCCGATTTCCTCTATTCTGTTTATTTCAATATACAATACACTACTGTATAAACACTTCAAAATATACCAGAAATGTTATAAATGGTGCAAAGGCGACATTAAAACATCCAAGACGGCCAACACAAACTCGCTACCATTATAGTATGCTCCTCAGTGATGAATTCGTTTAACAACGTGGTCTTAGGAATGGAACTCCATCATTAAGTGAGGAGAGGCTGTATTTCAAATACTAAAACTGAAAACCTTTGAAAAATACTGTAGAACCTCAGCTATCGACTGCATTACTTGTCAAACAAATCTTGTTTTTTGAGCAAGGAATTTGAAAGAAAAGAAAATGTCCTGGTTTTTATATGTTCTCTTGGTTGTTGACCGACAATGAATGGCTCAGGTCACGTGCTCACAGAATGCACACTGGACAATGAGTCAACAGTATGGGTTCAAGTCTGCATAGCCACTAACTTGCATGTTGTGCATCTAACATATTTTGCAGTTTCAGTGCAAATTTTTTTTTTTTTTTTTTTTTTTTTTTTTTGTGAGAAGCCATTTGATTTGTCAAGGAAATGTGTGCTAAATGGTGTGAAGTACATGAGGTTGCTGAAAAACACCATCTAGACACAGCAGTGGCCATCTGTCTAACACGTAAAAATGACAGCATAATGTCTCAATTTAGGAAAGTGTGAAAATGGAGCCTGAAACAAGACTTATTTGACAGGTTTTTTGTTACCAAAGAACAAGAACAAAGTGTTAGTAGTCGGTTTAAAAAACAGGATATTATAATCATGGAGTGCTAAACCTGTAGGGATTATGCAGTGCCTGGGGGGAGTGAGGGAAAGATTTTCGGGCTAAATTTCAGGGAACTAAAAGCACAAATCCAATTCCTTAGTAAAGAACCAAAAATATTTTGCCTGACATTAATAAAAAGGAGTCCTTCCAAGCAGTAACATACCCCCTCTCTCCACCCCCTTTCTTCAGTATGTCATTAGCTCTCCTCTGACAGGAGAGAGGCAGTAAGTTTTCATTTACTGTACAATATTCCAGTTAAAGTTTGTTAGAATTCATTTTTACAGTTTTATGTAGTAGTACATTTAATAAATTACTAATACAGTGGACCCCCGCATAGCGAACGCCTTGCATAGCGAACAATCCGCATAGCGAACGCTTTGTTCGCTAAAATTTTGCCCCGCATAGTGGACAAAAACCCGCTCAGCGACCTTCGTCCGAGACGCGTCCAAAGTGCGGCCTCAGCCAGCCTCACATGTGCCGCCCGTCCCATTGTTTACCAGCCAGCCTCCGCGGTAACATTCAAGCATACACTCGGAATATTTCGTATTATTACAGTGTTTTCGGGGCTGTTTTTTGGAAAATAAGTGACCATGGGCCCCAAGAAAGCTTCTAGTGCCAACCCTGTGGTAAAAGGGTGAGAATTAGTATGGAAATTAAGAAAGATTTTGAAGGGTTTGGGGCTAAACCCTGAGAAGCCTATGCCAGTTTTGGGAAACCATTGTGCCTACTTCAAAAATTAAGGAAATGTGTGCACAGTGGTTGAACTGCAAACCTTTATGGGTGAAAATCACCCTGACACAGCTGTTGCAAGCCTGCTGGGGACTATTTCAATGACAAAGTATGGCCCATTTTTAGACAAAAAAAACGAAAGGGAAAGGGGGGTACAGAGCTCTTGGACAGATTTGTTTGTGCGACAGAGGTCCAGTGACTCTGAAGCTGGGCCTATGGCATTAAAAGAAGAAGGGAAGTAACCCCGGAAAAGGACTTGCTACCTCAAGTCCTAAGGAAGGGGATTCCCCTTCTAAAAAACTAACACTCTCTCTCCCCTCCTCCCATCCCACAATCATCACCAATCTTCAATAAAAGTAAGTGTCATGTAATTGTGCATGCCTTTTCAGTTTGTGTGTACTAAAATTTTACATTTTTTGTGGTAAAAAAAATTTTTTTTCATACTTTTGGGTGTCTTGCACGGATTAATTTTATTTCCATTATTTCTTATGGGGAAAATTAATTCGCATAGCGAACATTTCGCATAACGACCAGCCCTCTTGCACGGATTAAGTTCGCTATGCGGGGGTCCACTGTACAGTGGAACCTCCACTTGCGAGCGCATCCATGCGCGAGTTTCTCCAAATACGAGTAATCGCTTGGTCGATTTTTTTGCTTTCATACGCGAGCAAAATTTTCATAAGCGAGCGGGCCTCAAGGGAGGTTCCTTGACGCTGGTGAGGAACTCTTACTCTAGGGAATTGGAACTCATTTGTTTGTTGGACTATCTTATTGAAACTTCGGCAATGTATGATGGAAAGATGCTTTTTAACGTACACCAAACATGAAAGAAATCGGATCATAAATAATGAAGTTCACTTTTCAGCCATTAGCCACACCTTAGTGGTATTTTCGTATGGTTTTTATACTTTTATTCTATTTTTTGGACTAATCTGATAGAATGGAAATCGCATTACAGAAATAGATTATGAATGGGTTGACATTTATCCAATTATTACAATAATGCAGTAGTCTGCATAACAGTAAATCTATTTTTTGTGAATAAAAATTCACAATTATTTATATTGTAATAATAATACGTATATGTATAATATATGTATAATAATGTACTATATAATAATCATAAAAGACTGCTTCAAAGGGCTGTCACTAGAGGGCAGTGATTACCACAACAATGTGGGAGTGGTTCTGGCCGCCTCCACCTGTCACATAATGACGTATTTTGTTCATTCTAGAGTATACATGTATATCGGGTTTCTATGCTAATTATATTGTTTAGTCATATTAGATGAATTGTGATATATAAATAAGCCATAGATTTGATATTAGGGAAATTATTGAAGTATTTTCTCGTGCCTGGAATTCCACAGGAACGGATTAATTCCATTTAAATGAGGAAAATTGAATCAGCATACGAGCAAATCCAGATGCAAGCAAGGTCATGGAACGGATTAAAATCTTTAAGAGGTTCCACTATTGTCATTTGGGATCTAGAATGGATTAATTCTGTCCACAATATTCCTTATGGGAAAAGTAGCTTTGGTTGTAGTTCATTTTGGGTGCTGAATAAACATCTGGAACAAATTAAATTTGACAACCAAGGTTCCACTGTATTTAAAGGTTAAACTTACTGATACAACCCAAGGGCCAACATTGGGTGAACATTCATAAAAGCAATGATCTTGTAAAAAATGTTCATTGCATTTTTTAGACATATTACGACAGTGGTTGTAATTGAAGTTATAGATGTTGTCATTATGAACTTTATGTGCAGTTTCTTCCGTACAGCAAGACCTATCTTTCCATGGTGAACACTGGAGAGAAAAAAAAAAAATAATTAAATGACTTTAGCCCAAGACAAATAGTCATACTCTAAATATTAACAGAAGAGCTATTTTACTTTAGAAAATTTAGTTTTTCTAGAATCACTGCTTTTAAAATGCTAGGCAAGAAGAATTTTTTTAATTAATTTATTAGGGGTAGATTCGTAATAGAAGTAAAAATGTAGGGCATGTTAACCCCTTTGTTTTAGCCTCATGAAATGCTCACTGGAGCAGCCAAGATCTAAAATCTGGAAGAGGAATTTGAAAAGGTTTCATGGATTCAATCATTTAATTACTTCATGACTAAGTTACTCAGTATCCCAAAGAAAAATTTATTTTATTGAGCATTAGGAGAGAAGTCACAGAGGTCAGTGGACAAGTTTGGAAGGGTATGTAAAAGAAAAAAATAAAAAATACTGTATAGGAGAGATAAGGCAAGGATAAAAAAAAAAAATTAGGTAATGAAAGATTGGATATCAGATTGGAGGAAGAGAATATGGAGGAGGTGAATGTATTCAGATATTTAGGAGTGGACATGTCAGCAGATGGGTCTATGAAAGATGAAGTAAATCATAAAATTGAAGAGAAAAAGGAGTGGTGCACTTAGGAGTCTGTGGAGCCTAACTCTGTCCATGGAAGCCAAGAGGGTAATGTATGAGAGTATAGTCATACCAATGCTCTTGTATGGGTGTGAAGCATGGGTGGTAAATGTTGCAACAAGGAGAAGGCTGGAGGCTGTGGAGATGTCATGTCTGAGGGCAATGTGAGGTGTGAATATAATGCAGAGAATTTGTAGTTTGGAAATTAGGAGGTGTGGGATTACCAAAACTTACCCAGAGGGCTGAGGAGGGGTAGAGGGGATAGAACAAAATAGTGAATGAAGGCAAATGATTTTGAGGACTGTGCTGTCGAGTGTGAGCAGAGTAACATTTATGAAGGAATTCAGGGAAACTGGCAGGTACAGTGCCTGCACTCTAAAGGAGGGGTGTTAGTGTTGCAGTTTTATAACTGTAGTGCAAGTGCACCTCTGGCAACACAGTAATGGAGTGAATGATGGTGAAAGTTTTTTGGGGCACCCTGCCTTGGTGGGAGATGGCTGATAAAAAAAAAAAAAAATTAATAGAGCAAATGTTAATGGAGTTAGAATCCAAAGATGATTTTTTTAGTGACAAATCTAAAGTAGAGCAACTAGCAATGTTATGTAGCTCAGCTTAGGCTTTGTCTAAAGTCCACTTGGTAGATGAACACTCCTAAAGCCAAATGCATTGCACATGGTCAGCTTTATGGTCTAATACTGCTTAATTATCCACTAATTTGAGGAATACCTAGAGTTTCTGGAATAGACAGTAAAATACATGACAAGATATTTTATGGATTTGTCCTAAAAAAAAGGGGGGGTAAACAGTAATGAAGCCTTTTATGTATCCATATCATCTTCCATTCACAGGATGGATATGGGAGGTGTGCAACCTGAGCTAACAGGTTTAGTGTCACACAATACCCCTGCAGAATTACAAAAGCCATGGGGCCTTTTAGCAGGCGAGGCTGGAAGTTTCAGGTAGAGATTTTAGATAAGGATATTTGAAAGGTTGTATTAACAGTCAACACTGATATTAAGATTAAACTAGGTTCTTTATTATAGTAGCCGACATTAACCAGGTGTGTGTGATAACTGCTGCAAAAAGCAGCAATACAAGAAAGAAAAATTACGTTTAATTTAATTTTGTCCATTAACCCTTTGACTGTCGCGGCCGTATATATACGTCTTACGAGGTACCGTGTTTGACGTATATATACTCAAATTCTAGCGGCTTCAAATCAAGCAGGAGAAAGCTGGTAGGCCCACATGCGAGAGAATGGGTCTGTGATCAGTGTGCACCATATAAAAAAATCCTGGAGCACGCAGTGCATAATGAGAAAAAAAAAACTACCAATTTTTTTAATTAAAATGCCGACTTTGTGGTCTATTTTCGTATAGTATTTATGATTGTATTCTCGTTTCCTTGGTCTCATTTGATAGAATGGAAAACATATTATAGAAATAGTGATTTCGATTGATTTTTCTATAAAAAGAACCTAGGAATGGAGCTCAAAGTAGGGGAAATGTTTGATTTTTGCCAATGTTCAAAAGTAAACAAATGATGCCATTGTCCAATAAATGTCCAACTAGCCATTCTAATATGCAGTCATGAATGGGTTGATGTTATTTATACAATTGTTACAGTATTGCAGTAGTCTGCATAATAGTAAGTCTTCTATTTTTTGTTAGAATAAAAATTCAAAATAGAAAGCAAGAGTAATATCAGAGGGGCCTGGAGACATGACTGATGAGCAAAGAAAATGTTATTTTAGAACCAGGAATGTCTGCATTGTTCATTCTGGACCTTATTTTGAAATTGTCATATTTTTTAGTTTTCGTGAAATTGGCCAAATTGCAAATTTCTGACCACATTATTAGGTAGTTGAAATCGTAAATGGGCTTTTTCCTTGTCTCAATAGAAAAAAGGGGAAGTTCAAAAGGAAAATACCTATGAGTGGGCGACTGAACAAGGGAAAATTAGCCAAAAATGGGGCTCAAAGGGGGCGAAATTCCCGTTTTTTAAAAACAGCGCCGAGCCCAAAAATTTCGCGAGAGCATAATTCTTTCTTTTTCCCCAACGAAATTTCTTTTTTTTTGGTTTGTCATTACAAATGGGGAAAAAGTTTCTCGATCATTTTCACAAGAAAAAAAAATTTTTTTTTTTAAATTTTGCGACGCCGGGAACCCCTTTCGGGAAATTTGGGGGGTTGCGACAGTAAAAGGGGTTTAAAGCTTTTTATTCACAACCTTTTAAAAAATTTTAAAATCAGAATTACTTCAATTTCTTAAACTAAAAGATGACTTTAAAGGGGGTGTAGCTTTTTGAAGACGTTTTCCCCTAGGGGGAAAGGAGTTTTAAAAGTGCTCTTTCCCTTTTTAAAAGGAGTTATGCAAAAAAATTAAATACATTTTTTTTAAAAAGAAAAAGTCGATTAATATGGAAATTTTAAGTAAAATTGCCTGAAATTTTAAAGAGGGTTTATTTTTACGGGCATTTGGGGGGACTTTAAAAAACTGCTGTATGAAAGGGCCCCTTGCGAGAGTTTAAATGAAATTTGTGAGGTGAAATGTTAATGATGAAATGTATAAACATATTACTGAATAAATTTTCCCTATCACAGAATAATGTAAACTAGATTAATCTGTATCAAACCCCCGAAAATATACTTACAAAAGCACTTACAAAAATACATTTACATAAGTCATGTCGGGAGTGGTTCAAGCTCGAGGGCCCAAAATAAAATTATAATAAATTATATTTTATATATATATATATATATATATAAAAATATATATAAAATATATATAGGGCAAAAAAACCACTCTGAAAGAATAAGAAATTCCAAGCGTTTTCCGTGACTACCACTTTAATAAAGGAACTATAAAGTAAAAGCATCCAAGGAAGCTATAAAAGGGGGTGGGCCAGCACCTCACTATCAGACCCCCAAAACCCTTTTAAAAAACGTGAGGGGCGGCGACCCAAATTTTTGGATGGGTTTCCTTTGCAAAAACTCACCCCCAAGCATTTATTTGTCCATGTATTTTTAAAAATTTTTTTCCCAAATTCTATTAATTAAAAAGGGATCAAATTTTAAATAAAAAAAAGGGAAATTTTCCCAAAATTAATTGTCAAAACTGCTTTTTATGAAACAAATTAATATTTTCCCTGTCGCCCAAAGGACTTGCTTGGAAAACAAATTTTCCTCAACTTTTTAAAAATAAATTTTGGAGGGTTAAAATCTTTTAAAATAAAATAAATAGAGCTTTGGAATCTTCCCCAGTTCAAATTTGCTATATTTATTTTTTTAAAAATCTTAGTTCGGTTTTTTACAAGTTTAAAACCGAAATAAACTTTATCGCAACTTTTACAAGGAATCTTATACACACATCCATCAAATTTTGGGGGGGAATTCTTTTTCAAAATTTTTTTTACTGTACAAGTTTTTTGAATAAAACTTTAATTTTAAAAAAGCCTTAAGAAGAAAGGCATAAAACCCCAAGTTTTCATGGTAAGGGAGAACCAACATTTTTTTTAAATTTGAAAAGGGCGGGTTTCCCTTTTTTTGTTATAAAAAGTTTTTCCTACAACTTTAAAAAAGATTTATCAATTACTTTTCTTGGTATGTCTAAGATTCCTTGTAAAAATTGCGAAAAAAGTTTTTTACGGTCAAACTGGAAAAAAACCTCGAACTAAAAATAAAAAAACCCATAAATAAAAGAAATTAAAACTGGACAAGTTTCCCCAATGCCCTATTTATTCAGGTAAAAGATTTTAACCTTTCCAATTTTTTTTAAAAAATTTGAAAAAGTATATCAAACAATCCATGGTCGACGGGAAAAAAATTTGGAAATCTTTTTTTCTAAAAAACATTTTGGGACAATATAAATTTTTCCCTTTTGGGTTTTATATAAATTAAGATCCATTTAAAAATTAAAAAAATTTTTGGGAAAAATTTTAAAAAACCACTGACAAATAAATAGCTTGGGGGAATTTTTGCAAAGGCCCCTTTTCCAAGTTGGTTTCACCCCGCCGTCCCGTTTTTAACCGTTTTGGGACCCCGGGGAAAGCGGGGTTGCGGGCCCGACCCCTTATATAGTTTCCTTGGATGTTTCCTTTTCATATTTCCCTTTGAAAAACGTGATTAGTCACCGAAAGCGCGGGAATTTTCACTTTCTTTAAAGAGGGGTTTTTTTTGCTTTTTTTTTAAAAATCACCTTTTTTACTGGACCCTTTTTTGCATATATATATAATATATTTTCTACACAACCCCACACACCACACACAAAACCTCGGGGCCGAATAGGCGAACTTGCGATTTTGGGCCTTAAATAGCAATGTTTCATTTTGCTATATATAAACCAAATTAAATTTGTGAAAGCAATAATTTCGCCAAAAAAATTCTAAACCCTAATGAAAAAAAAAAAATTTCACTTTTTGTTTAGT